TAATTAATATCATTGGAATTAAGATTCTGATGATTCCTGCTTCCCTTACATCGCCATTTTCCCTAGGGAAGTCTACCGTGCCCCGTACTGTACGCGACACATAAAACGTCTGCATGTTCACAAACAGCCGTTTTAATTCAGCTGTGCGCACAAATTGCACAAAGCTGTCTGCCTGCGATCCGCGTTAAAAATACACCGCCACTGACGGTCGACACGTTTTCCAGTCTGTCGATAGTGAAAGCATTTCTGCGTTGCTTTCGTATCTTCCTACACGCGGTTATGTAATCGTCAAAACGCTTTTTCCCCTAGATTCGCCAAGCGTTTTACAGTTCCTGTGATTCATTCGATTGCACCATCAACTGATATACAGTAGAAGTTTCGAAAATATGTCACTAGTAAATAATTAAAAAAAAAATTCATTTTCTTTAATTTTATTTTTCAATATATTCTAATCCCACTGCCAAATTATTTTATGTATTGTATATAAAAGAAAATTAATTTCCTGATTTAGCATTCCAGGGTAGTTGATTAAGAGTTAATCAAGAAATTCCCTAATTTATTACCAAAGATACACCAACATGAGAAACACTGCTCCAAGACCCCTCTATATATAGAAACGCCGGTTTTATCTTTTCCTGTGGATATTTTCAGACAGAACTCCGCCCTTGGACAGTATTGTTTAGCTCCAGAGGGTCGTGTTATCAGCATCATTTTTTTTTATTTTTCGCGTTCTGTATTCAATTCCTCAGCGTGCAGCTGTACTATACAATCGTGTATCACGGTATGATCCTATCGATCATCGATCTCGATCGATATCGTACAGTAGAGAAAAATCACAAGAAATAAGAAAAAGGAATGAAAATTCCTGCGTGCACAGCAATATATCAAATTCATGTTGCAATTTAAAGAAGATCAATGATCCAATTTTTAAAATCAATGTAAAATTCAAAGCACCTCGGATAATTTATGCTCTACTGTATTTTTCAAGTTTATCATAATTAGAAGATCCTAAACAAAAATCTAGGAATTTTTGAAAAATCTCCATATGGAAAAGGAGGAAATTCTGAATTCGAACATTTGACCATATCGCGGTGGTTTGGCAACGTTCCAGACGTATTGTCACCGATGGTAAGAGACGGCGAAATAGTGAGAGAGGATGAACGAAGAGAGAGGAAAAGAAGTGGGCGTCGGTCAGCGAGAGCGTTTGCTTCACGATTGTGAGAATGTTGAAGATTCTCGTGTGGAGCAGGAACCCTTGAAGAGGATCGTGCTGTTGCTATCAAGCGAGCAGGTACACGTAACTTCTATAAGCTAGCTAGCCTATGCCTCTGTTCCGACAGCCCTTCAAGAATGCAGCAGGATTCGAGCTCGGTCTCCAAGTTGAATTTTTATAAATTGATTAGAAGATCGTCTTCTGTCTGGTACTTGCTCCTGATGTTCCCAACATCAGCATTAGAAATATAACTACCTCCATGTAACACAATTCTGATCGAAAGAGAACGACGAAAAAAACGTGTGCAAAAAAGTTATTGCGGCAATTTGTACGTTGTAATACCTAATTTCCCTTTCACTTTGCTGCCTCATAGCTGCACTCGACAGATCTGCATTGTCGAAAGTAACTTGAGGTATCCGTAATAATACTAAAAGAAGCGATCATTTATAATGTTATTTCCAAAATAATTGCATTAATTTTTATCAGTACTGGAATTCTTGGAATTACAACTTTTCCACACGTGTATTCGTTACAGTGTAATTTAAGATATTTAAAAAAAAAATATCAATTCAATGGAAATATTAAGTAAGATAAGATAGTTATGATGTATATAACACACGATTTCATTAATTTTTTTGAAATATACACCGATAAACTTGAATCAATAATGTATTTCAGATAATTGCGATTATAAGAAATTGTAGGAAAAACACAAGTGACGAGATAAAGAAAAATTGAAATTTCTTCAATTTGAATGAAAAATTGATAATTGTAAATTTCGATGGAAACTCATTAATAGTGTTTATTAGAGCAACAGAAAAAAAATGAAAAGGACGAGCGTTGACTCGCTGAAGAGCCCTAGACGATAAGCACTTAGCTTTAATTAGTAACTTTATCGACGCGTTCCGCACGACAATCAACGTTTTTACGGTTGGATGACTTGGCTAGCCAAGCAGCCAGGATTACGTGTTAATACGTGAAAATGTTTCTTCCTACAGATAAGAAATTGATGCTCGACAGAGTATGTTTTTAGCACCTTCGATCTTTATCATTGCACTAATCGTGGATCCGTATTATCTTTTTTTTAAAAGATAGCTTCATACGTTACAAAATCGAACAATTAAGGTTTCATCTGTTGAAAAGGTCTAGCCAGTCTAATATTACTAATTAATTTCTCTAGTTCCAAGATAGAAACTCCGATAGCATTGTAACCAACGGGTAAGTCGAAAGTTTATTACAAACGCTTCCAGCAGTATGATTTACGAGGAAGCTATTACAACGATGCACCATACTTCGTTATCGAGCATCAGGTGTAACGCAACAACAGTTAGCCGCACCTTTAGGTCGGACGTGTGTAAAAATACGGGTTCAAGTAACTGTTGCAGCCGTATCAAATTATTTACTATTTTGTTATGATACAATAATGAATATGGAAAATATCTAACTCCAAGTTTCTCACCCTACTAACGATAACTTTAATTCAAGTGAATTATTTTATCGCCTCTGTTAATTAACCCTGTTACATCAAATTATTTAAAATACTACATAATCTACTATTGTGTTTTCCATGCTATGGGGCAGCCCGCGAGCAAAGTCCCGGCACAAACTCGAACCTACCGTTTGGTATCGAGTGAAAAGCCCGCGAGCAGCCCGGGCGCCCTACGGGCAATTTCGTGTGCAGGCACGCTATAAAAGCTTATTATTAAAATTAAAAGAGCATGGGTGACGGTAGTTAGATGGATACGTACAATGGGGTACATTCACGATACCAGAATTATCGAAATTATTGATTTCAAGAAGGGAGACTAAGGAGGTTGGACATTAAGACAAAGATATCTTTGGATGTGTAGAGTGGAGTGAAAAGGATAACGAATCGAATGATCGTACGTTAATGCGAGCCGTAAAGGGGTCTCTTTGTTTACGATACGTTCGTAGTTGCCGCGATGCTCGTTTGGATGCACAATCGAATCTTATTTGGTGAGAGCCGCTTCTACGTAGGCGTACGTATCTTTCTATACTCGGTCTCCCTTTCGCTCGGTGTAAATTCTCGTATTTGACCAGACATTTTCGACCCGGTGGAAAAAATTAACGAACGTCTCTAATAAATATTGTTAATTAATAGTAAAATAATTCAACCTACAAATTTTTTGAATATCCCGGGTTTTATAATTTGTTGAAACGCAAAGCACTTAATTGATACTCAATTCATTTTATTTCATTAATTTCTCTACTTTCTGTTAATTTAGCATACGACCGGTTCAGGTGTAATTCATTCTTTCAGTTTATGCAAATTGCACGAACATGTGAACCCAGCTTAACAAACACACTTCAGAAATAAATAAAAACCGTGTGATTCATTTGCAGCCAGGTTCATCTGCATTGCAGACAGGGCGGATCCAGAAGCCTTAGTTGGAAAGGGCGAAATATGCTAATTATACATATTTTGAATCTCATTTCGCAGGATTTGAAACTTAATTACACCACGTTTATTAATGCTTTTATCAAATAAGAACTTAAATTATGTATGACTGATTAAAAAGTAAATCAAAAGAAATTTTACTTTACGATATTAATTAATTTTTGTAATAAATTTCATAATCCTTGGAAGACCTTATGTTTACCACTGATAGCAGCTAAATATAACCACTATCGTGGAGTCATTTCAGTTTAATTATTAACAGGTCACACGTGTTGATACCGATCAACTTATTAATTACATTACATCTGTTAGTATGATAACGATGTTGTCTCTAAATCAACAAAGTACGAAAGTGCAAGATGCATATTTGAAAGGCATATTACACACGTAATGTGTATATTTTCAATAGTTTCTATTATTTCGTAATCTTCCACACGTTAATCCTGCCGTCAAATTTCTATTGCGAGCTAAATCGACGGTTGACGAGCAACGTGATCAGCGCGATTCAATTATTATCCTATTACCTTCACCGTTCACACATATCGGCGTAAATGGATCCTTTGAAAGCTTCTCAAAAGATAGCTTTGTAAACGTCGTTTGTATGCGCATCGATGCACATTTCTCTGAAATATCGTAGCCACTGGCGCATTTTAACGAACAGCCACAATACATCCTTCTCTGCCTCATAATAGCATAATTAACCATCGGTCGACGGATACTGGGTCATTCAAGACCCATCGTTACAATAAGTTAAAATTGTGAATTCATGAATGTTTTATTCAATACAATATTCAATACGAATTTTAAATACTAATAATGTACTAATATTCCTAAAATTGTGAAATAATGTGAAATCCTAGTTTCATTTGTGAGGTTCGATCTCGGACCTTCAAACGTGATAATCTATCACGCTACTTCGCCCCAAAATAATATTATTATATACTAATATTCTAAAAATTTATTCCCGAATATTGGGTCACGTTTAACCCAGTATCCGCCGTGCGTGTAACTACTGTACTATCCGTTGTTCGAGGATTAATAGAAAATTGTCAATCGTAGAACATAGCGTGAGTCATGGAATCCTATAGTACAGTAGACTCTCGTTATATTGCCACGTGAGCGATTTAACCTTCACACGGATTTTCAAGCTCTTCCACCATCGTAGTTTAAGAAAAAAATGAAAGTTTGGAAGCTTGAAAAATTGTCCGCGGTAATATAATGAGAGCGTACTGCAACTGCACTAGGTCATTAAGAATTACGAATGCGTCCTAACCCCATACGTACCAGTATACTGACAGTTCCAAATCTTCACGGATCACATGCCGGATGTGTGTATTAGGGCATAAGCAAAAAGTGTATATTACTCACCAGCACTTTGGTGAAGCGCCTCTCGAGTTCGACGGCGTCAGGCATCGGTTGCCTCGGCGCGCTACGGACGCTGCCAGTCCGTGCGTGCGGTCCACCCAAACTTCCCATGCCGAGGCTTGCTTGACAGGATTGATGAGGCGCGCCGCCCTTGACACCGCCGATGAACACCTCGCGCACACCGCCATCGCTCTCGCCGGCACGGCTCTGTACGATCCCCATTATTTCAGTCGTAACACGTATCCTGCGCCGTTGCAGCGGCTAGCACTGTCACACCAGGAGAAACGTCAACAGCCACGATCGTGACGGTTCATCTTCCACAGACCGGAAATCACTTTTTTTAACGTCGATTAGAAGACGAATCGAACCGGTCCGCGCCGGGCCGTGCAACAGGTACCAAGCCGTCCATTGCGGACACAAACTGACGAACGTGCGCGAACAACAACACGATGTAAACCTCTACTATCCACACTGCACGAAGCACTAGCTGCGTCTGCCAGGCCCGCTCCTCTGCGACGCATCACAGCCACTACGCATGCGCCATCGTGCGTGCCTGCGCCATCTGCAATGCGCGGTGAATTTGAAATGAGATGTGTGTAGGGTTGGTAGCCGTGGTGGTTTGTTGATAATTTCATTCCAGATGGAAGCACTATACATTAGAGTGTGATAAAATTGTACAATTTATATTATAAAATAATTAATTAGATTTAAAAACAATTGTAGATAAGATAAACTTAATTTAACAAAATCAATTGTTATTCAAATTCATATATCGAGTTAATAACTATCGATAAATCGATATATAAGGACGCCATTATTTCGAGATATCGATCTACTATCTAACCTCCAAAACAGTATGGCGTCGTTTTAGTGTATTGGTTAATAAAAAGTATTTGTAAATATTTGTAGATTGTATGAAACAAGACTAGTGTAAATCAACATTGGAAAAATGAAAAAGTCTCCGTTAAGTATGCCGAGTAGCAGCAAACCGAAGCAGAATTACAATTGGAAGGTACACGATCGTAAAAATAGGACAGGTTATAACTATATTAAGAGTGATAATTATCAGTGTACTTCTCCAAATCAAAACTCTGGGAATGATTTTATCCCGTTGAACGCCAGTTCACCATTGCCAGAACGAAATTGGCGTGGTTCTAGAGGTCGTAATCACCGTAATTCAGGTAGTGGTGGATTTAACCATTACCGGAACAATTATCATTCAACCCCAAAGTCGAATTTCAATAATTTGTACTCTCCTTACAAGCACTCTGGTAAACAATTCTATGGTCAAAAAAAGGTAATTTTATCATTTTCTTATGGTCACTAGTATAAGCAGCACAAAATATGTTGGTTTTCTTATATTTAGGGTTATCAAAAGGACGCACGTAAACAGGTAGATATATCGAACTACATAGATAGGACCTCCTTTTTGGAAGATCCTTGGGCAGAATTGATGAAAAAATTAAATGACTCCAAAGAAGTAAATGACTCAGAAATGTCGCCTACCTTTGAACCCTTGCTCTCCTCAGAATCAATTTATATAGATTCGAAAAATGAATTGGGGTTAGACGATACAGATGTTAGCAGTGTATCCAGAACAGAAAGCTCAATAGACATAAACCTTGAGAATGTAACATTCGGTCAAGAGTTAGTAAATAAAAGCAATGGCAGTAATAATGATAGTGTTTGTGAAGATTTCCAAGAAAATGGAGTTCATTCTGCTCCTACAACAAATGTGATTCAAGATCTTATATAACAGTAAGAGAGTGCTTTTAAGGAAATTACACTGCACAGTACTTTATATCTAAATTGTACATATTAACACTTAAATGTATATAGGAATTTATGAAACAGTTCTGTTATATGAATTGACGAATTAACGAAATTTTTTTTTTTCAAAGATTATTATAGAAGCATATCACGTATATGCATGATATAATACTTCTTTCAAACGATATTTTCACAAGAAGGCTGTGAAAAGATAAGTGTAGAATTATATATGTGCAATTCTTTAGTATGTACTAAAAGAGGTACATATATGTCAGAATACAAGGGAACAGTAAACACCAATTTTTCACCGATAGATTAAGCGGCTAGAAACTGTCGAAGCATCTAAGATCCAGCTATATTTAGTTAAGATTCAACTATATGAATTAAATTTAAGTTATCTTGACTAATAATTATATGAGTGCTGATTTATATTATTGAATACCCATCATTAATTTTAATCTTATAATATCATTAGTCCATGTATGGCATAGAAATGTACGAAGAGTTAATTGTATATATTTATATCAGGCGTGCATACGAAATTAAGTATGCATGGGATCTCATTTGACGGCGTGGAGGTACCCGAGACAGAAGCCTGTCCCCTTGAGCTACTTGCTGTACACGTCTGATCTATATTAACGTAACATAAGCGTAGAATTGAATAATCATTAATTACGTGCAAACGCCAGCAATTCTAATTTTAGGATTACCTTACGTTCGTACTTTTTATTTTAAATGCAATGACTTAAAATTTGTTTAAACTGCAAGATATTTTATTTAAAGCTAAATCAACGTTGGAATATTGTAAAATTAAAGCAGTGGAATAATAGGTTTAAATGATTGTTATCTTTGAAAAATGTTTATTTCCAATCTTTACACATTTTTTATAGCGTGTTTTAGCAAGCGACGACAAAAGTGTCCTACATGTTTAACATGCTACCTTAATGTACAAATGACGATTTGGTACAAAAATTTGTATAATTTAATGGAGAATCGTATTTATTTCCACAGTACGATTTTATATGATCGTATAAAGCATGTCATTGATGTTTTAACCAATCATTGTATGAATAATCTGTACAAAAGAACTATGTGTAAATACATGTAAATTATGGTAATAATCATTTTAATATTCTGTAAGCATTAGTCAGTTTCTTCTACATTTTCATTCCTTGTAGATTTTTGTTTCATTTTGCAAAATATAAAGATAAGCTGATTCTTCATATAATTTTTTTCTAATTAAATTTTGTGATTGCACTGTTCGATTATTTTTATTAAATACAATTTGAGTTTGTTAATGAAACATACAACAAAAGAAACAGCTCGTTAATTAATCTAATCGGGTGGCCTTAGATCTCCAACTTTGTGCTTTTCAAGGTAAGGCTACGATACAATGGCAAGTAAGATCGTGTAGGTACATGAATAATAGATCGTTAGTCGAAGTAATCAATATGAGCTACGTATTTTCTGGTACAGAACTTTTCATTTCGTTTTTGAAAGATTGTAATTTCCAATTAGCACACTTTTTTCCATGCACAATACCGAGTACGGCGGGCTTCTTTAGGAAAAATGACGGGAAAGAGGAATTTTCAAAATTCTAATTTTGAAGATATTAATATCGAGATTAATCAGATGTTTGCCGACATTCGGCTTATAAGATTTACTATGGCTGATTTCAAAATATAAACCGTACTATATTGCTTTACTTCCTTTGGTTTTTATTTTGAAATTAAGAGTGCATATTTGTTGCGCACGTGTTCATGCGCAGGTAAATGCAAGGCATACGCGCTTGCGCAAATTGGGATGTCCATGCGCATGCGCGTGCAATGGTATATATACGCGAGTGCAAGTGCAGTTGCATCACTCCCTTTATCCATCTCTCCCTTACGCCCGATCCAACGAGAAAAACAAAATTTTTCTTATCATACGGTTTTATTAAAAATTCATGTTTGTGTCGCAGACAATTCATGTTTCTTAACAGACAATCATACATGATATATTTACATGCAACTATACGAATTAAACTGAGAAACTTTATTTATATTTTTCAACGCAAAATTTCGTTTCATGGTTTTTCTGCTTATTTATCACTTTCATTGGTGTAACTACAATATATAGGATTTTTGTCTCAAGGTTTATTATGTTTTATATATGATTTCATATTTATCTCGGTCCAAATATTAATTTTTATTAACTGACAATTTTTTTCTGTCCCTTTTTTTTTCAATAATATTTCACTGGGTGTGGGCTCTACGCCAATGGCCAATTCTAATCTGTAATAAAGTTATATGGATTTGAGTCGTACCTTTCTTCGCCGCTTTTCCATCACAAACTTGTAAATATTTCATGGAAAAGTTGCGTAACTAGGTGCAAGCGTCGCCGATCAAATGATCGTTTGATGCAGTATTTACTGATTTGCGTTAGATCAACATGATCAAAATTCTAATCTACCGTACATGTATATATACAGAGATTTAATATGGTTGTTTTAACACTTGGACTGCCGTGTCATCCAGATACGAATAACAAATAGCTTTTAATGATACAAATAAATATTTAATACATTCACTTGCGTTTTTATCAAGAATTATATCTAAAATTAATTGATTATAATCAATCAGTGTCATACACGCACAAATTAAAAATAAAATTACTGAGACAAGTTTACTATGGCAGTCAAAGTGTTAAAACGTACCTTTTACATTTTTATTTTTATACTCTTCTTGCAAAAGTTAATTAATCTGGGATTCCTTAAGACTGACCCTCATGTAAGAGAATATGAACTCTTCTTTACAATATTTGGTCTCTTTGTTTAAAGCTATGGTTGATGCAGATTGGAGGTAATTGAATCTCTCTTTGCTCGTTACAGGTCTCATGCTGTAATATACTTTTCAATTCTATTGATTATTATTTACAAAAGATGAGTTTCTGGTAATAAAGTTTGCACTGTCTATTTCGTTGTATAATATAAAATTTCGAATCCTTTCTACATGACATAGCGTACTAATAATTTGAAATAATGTGGATTCGTTTTTTAAGTGTTTGAACAATAACTTTCATGTAACAATTATGTCAGTTTGTTTATTCAATTTAAGAAATAAGTTATCAGCATGAGCCCCGTATGATAATTATCAATATAAATTGAAATTCAAGCATCATTTCATAGAGATTTGATATTTCTGTACAATTGAGAATAAAAATAATATATTATCACTTATTTAGCCCATTGATTAAATTTCTTCACTACGATGTACGTACGATTATAGGAGATATTTCATAGATACATACATCATACATTCATATATATATATATATTATTATATGTATATATAAGTCTTCGTTGACTGTTAGTCACTGTTTTTAAAATTCTCCATACATCATTCAATTTTTTGTTCGATGGTTCCTGAAACTCGTACTGTTTCATTTTTCTTTTAATCTTGGACAGAAAGATATTTTTTTATTTTAGAAATATATTTAAGGAAAAATTGTATAATATTGAAAAGTTTCAGCTGTTATGTGATACAGATATTTAAAAAAAAAAATTCTTTAGATACAAGAAATAATCTTTTGAAAATTTCTTAGATAACACAAATAACATATTTTCAATTTTTTTCTAACTAGTGGAGACCAACCCCAACCCTTTATTTTTCTAGGTTTATTATTGAAATTCCAATGATATGTACAAATTAATGAACCGTACGAATCGCAAGATTCTCCGTCGAAGAAATAGTTAAGCTTTGGATTTTATTAAAATATACGACGAAGTTGGAGAAATCGTTCGTGTTCCGATTCGATCGTGTGAAAACACGTTGCGTTGATTATGAATATTTACATAGATACTTGAAGCGTAGGAAAGTACACGAGCAAAGTCACATAGTAAAGTTCCAAAGTTCTTTGCCCAACTAATTTATAATAAATGAACAGCATTGTATGTTGGCTTGTTTAAAATTTTACATTTCATATTTTTCAATTTCATTATTTCAGTGTTTATATTTAAATTTAGATTTTATGTAGAATTAAAATTACATTGTTATGGGTCAAAGAAACCCTGTCATAGAGCATCGGTCTTCAAAGGCAATTAGGCTTAAAACGATTGATATCTTTACTATGTACAATGAGTTCCATCGAAGTTGGCGCACTAACACATTCACGCCGCGTCGGTGAGCCGATGGGCGAGGTGCCGACGACGCGGTGTGAATGTGTTAGTGAATGTGTAGCCAACTTCACTGCGACAACTTCGATGGGACTCAGTATACCTTGATTACGCTCGTGTTTGGCTCAATGAGTGAAACAATGAGAATGTAAGTACGAGAATCATCGTGGTGATTGTAAGTGCCTAAGGTTACATTATCGATTTGCTTTCGTATCTAGTATAATGTGTCATCTATAGATACGTACGACGTGTATTACTCATCTACTTTAGGTCCGATTAATACGTGCGACAGGATTCTTGGCCGGGCACTTGCAACAAAGAAATTGACTCAAGATTAGTAACTTCATTAAGTATCCTAATATCTCTATACTCTGGAATTGAAATTGCTATAAGAATCAGCAAGTTAATATAAGAAACAAAATACATTGATTAATTTGTAGTTATTAATGAAACTATTATTACTGATATGTAATGGCATTTAATATTGAGAGAATATATAATTTGATATCTTTTTTCAGCAAACATTTGATTTTAATCACTGGTATCGATATTTAAATATTGATATTTGAAATGAAAGTTTTTATATTTTCATTGGAAAAATATTACGGAAATTGAATTGAATTTTATGAAATTTCTATTTACATACAAATGGTATCTCTTACGTATTTAATCATTCAAAGTTTTTTTCTTGAGCATTTGATGATATTACATTAAATACATTTTAAATTTCATGCTTTCAATTTATTATAAAATACAGTGTAAAAAAGGATGAGATAATTTTCATAAAATAAATAGTACATATACACTTTGTAATAGAGAGGCTGCTTTTGCTGCACTTTTAAAAGTATGTATTTGGTCCCCAAAATTTGAGAGTATCATATAATATATCTATAAATGAAACTAAACATTTTGAAAAAATGAAATTTAAAAAATTTAAAATTAATTCACTGTTTCTTCTGTTAAAAAATTGATCATTGGAATGAAGAAATTATGGCCCCCTTTGTTTATTGATTGGTCCAGAAATGTGTTTAACAAGGTACTCGAATGAAATTTTACTATTAAACTAGTTGACAAGCTCTTAATTCATTCGATGTTCGAGATAATACGGGCAAGTACTTGAATCTGTCGCACATATTTCACAATCTATTGTTCCCACGTAATAATGAACTCTGATAACCGATAATGATCGTGCAAACTCCAAACCCTCTCTATAGTTTCTAATTATATTTTTAAAGCGAGGTTGCCTTTAGAAAAATTTCAATTAAATTCATGAAAGCAATAAATTTAAAATTATTAAAATAATTTTTTTTAAATAATAAATTTATTAAATTAATATCAATATCTCTGACACTGGAAATTCAATTTATTATCAGTCTAACAAGTTAGAATAATTGATTTCGATTAGAGTTTGAGAATTTGCACGTTTACTTAACGTACATGGATCTCCTAATGGTACTTTCGTAAGTCGTTGCTTAAAATTTACTAAACGGAAGGACGAACGATTTGCGTAATAATTTACCTCGAGGTTACCACTGTGTCGTATTACGTTAGCAGAACGTGCAATATTGACTCTAGTCGATTTTTCGTGTTTGAGCACCGATAAAAACATATTTACCCTAAATTACACGAATTCAAATATGAATGGTGCCAAATTCCACGAAGGATATATTCCATTAACCCATTAATACCCAAACTTGTACATATTTAATACCATAAATATTACAAATGAATATTTATAGTATCATAAATATTAGAAATACTTATTTGCCTTAACACATTTCTTGCTGGGTCGGTCGTGATATAACCGGTTTAATAATTTCCATGTATCTTGAAAATGAATGATTTTCTTCCTCTGGAAATTAATAGATTAATGAATAATTTCCTAATTTCCGATTCCTGATCTTTTCTGTTACATAAATATTACCATATTCTGCTGAAAAAATAGTCACCCATATTCTGTATAGCAATTAATCAACTGTATAAAACTTAATTAGTTACATAGAGGTTTGCTGAAATTAAAATTCTAAAATGAAAGCAGAGTTCGCTTTCAAAATCGAAAATTCGATGTTCTGCTATTCTTTATTAGTTTGTTAAATGTTATTGTTAATTAATGTAAAATAATATAAAACATTATTATATATTGATTAGTTTGAAAAGTATTGTAAGATCTTTATGAAACTGATTCTCCACAAATCATATGTGTATTTCAATTATTATTTTCTTTCAAAATATGCAGGTTTCTTTCTTGGTTTGTGAACATATTTTGCATTAATAATTTGTTCTTTGTTCGGTTGTTGATATCTTGTAATACATGTTCCTCAAACATAAATAATCTTTGAGTAATTAATATAATAAAAAAAATTTTATTTTTTATAATAGGATACTTTTCTATTGTCTCGAGAAAATTGTAATGTTACGAATTAAATAATTTTTATTGTAATATTAAATTTTCAGAATTGCAGTGTAAATTTTTCGCTATCGTACATCTGAAATTTTGTTTAATTGAGTTTCCATCGAGACAATAGAAAAATATTCAAAATAGCAGTCCAGAGGGTTGCAAACAATTCAAGAAAATTCACATCGATTGCCGGTAACAATACCGCATGGAAGCATGAAAAGAGAAAAAGAATAATCGGAACATCGTACGATTAAACACGTATCACTCGAAACATCTATTATTTTAAAACCGGATACGGTGGAATAAATATCGCATACGAATCAACATTCAGAGTTATTAGGGTAACAGAGTTACTGTTTTAAGTAGAATCATGCAGATGTTCAGTTCATCTGCTCAATTGACATTGTATAATACATTATGAGAATTTCATTTCACCACCTTACTGGATCATAATTTCCATAATTATTAATGATAATTCCTTGCAATCTTAATTGGTTTAACTCCTTGCCTTATAATTTTGAATCACATTCGTATCACAGCTGGGGGTCTGCTAAACCTGTGAGTTTGAAACTTTCAAAAGAATTTTAATTTACTTTGTTTAGATATACAAATCATTAGAAACCATTAGAAATCATCAGAAACTATGAGTAATCATTAGAAATCGTTTCTCGTTCAAAATGATTAAAAATCATTAAAAAATCATTAGAAATCATAAGGCAAGGGGTTAAAAGCAATCCAAAAAAAACTTCAATTTTGAATGTTAGTTTGAAAAAGATAAAAACCTTCGCATCAAGTGATTTTATCCATAAATATGTTCAATTCTCCCATCAGGAAAACAAATTTTCGTTTAGAATCATTTAGTTCTGCTTACAAATACCTTTGGACCCACATACTCCACGTTTCTCACCTGGGGTCAATCGTCAAGTTCGAACGCAAAAGAATCACCTAAACTTCGTTTCGAAGACGATCTCGAGAATCATCTTTGCAACTGAAAGTTTTGCATCGAGCTTACCCCTTCAACCCCTTTGGTTGAGCACAAACTCAACAGCTTCTGAAGCATGACGAATCATCATCAGACGAGGATTTCCTGAAGGAATTCCTCGACAAGCAAGTCCTACAAATATTCGTCCACCCTGTCGTTTTCGTCCGGCGGGCTGGGTTCGCTTACGCTGAGTATCGGCAGACCGAAATGTTGCACCTCGATGCTCGACTCGGGGGTGCGTCGCGCGTAGTCGCAGCTCTTCGAGTGCCGCTCGATCCCTCCGCGCCGGTGATGATGATGACAACGGGTCAGACGAGCGTCGGAATCGCAGGATCGCCGATAACACCTGAAAATTATCAAGGAACGCGTTTTGCTAATTAATTGGAAACTAATTATTTCTGAAAGATGAGTGATGGAATCGCAGGATCGCCGATAACACCTGGAAACTATCAAGGAACGTGTTTTGTTAATTATTCGGAAACTAATTATTTCTGAAAGATGAGTGTCGGAATCGCAGGATTGCCGATAACACCTGGAAACTATCAAGGAACGTGTTTTGCTAATTAATCGGAAACTATTTATTTCTGAAAGATGAGCGATGAAATGCAGGATCGCCGATAACACCTGGAAACTATCAAGGAACGTGTTTTGCTAATTATTCGGAAACTTATTATTTCTGAAAGATGAGCGTCGGAATCGCAGGATCGCCGATAACATCTGAAAATTATCGATGAACATGTTTTGCTAATTAATTGGAAACTAATTATTTCTGAAAGATGAGTGATGGAATCGCAGGATCGCCGATAACACCTGGAAACTATCAAGGAACGTGTTTTGCTAATTAATCGGAAACTAATTATTTCTGAAAGATGAGCGTCGGAATCGCAGGATTGCCGATAACATCTGAAAATTATCGAGGAACATGTTTTGCTAATTTATCGGAAACTAATTATTTCTGAAAGACGAGCGTCGGAATCGCAGGATCGCCGATAACACCTGAAAATTATCAAGGAACGTGTTTTGCTAATTAATCAGAAACTAATTATTTCTGAAAGACGAGCATAAAATGTCCTTCTGTATTTCAAAAAATCCTTTGGCACATTTGGAGATAATTTATGCAGAAGATACCTGTTTTAACCATTTCAGCAACGAAAACTAGGTCACGACCAGAAGCGTACATTAAAAGAGACGCGGTCGTCAATTTTGTTTTAGAATTGTAATTTTTATCCGAGTCGGTTGCCTACAGGGTGTTATATGTTGGCGCAGCCTTGAAAGGTTGCTTGGCGTGTGACCAAGTTTCGAGGGTAGCCTTTAAGAGGGAACGATATTTACAGGGTGAATCGACGTCAACCGTGTATATTCATCAATGTAGGATGAGTGGGATCCAGATCGTTTGAAGGTAAAAATATCCCTGGTTTCTTGTGAATTCATAGGTGAATGCATTTTACAGCTGGCTCGTCTCCTGCTGGAGTTTCATTTAGAAAGAAGGAACGAAAAACTTGATTTTTTTTTTTTATCCTTACAACATTTTCCTCAATTATTTCGTAGATAAAAAATTATAAAAAATATGATAATGTTTTACGTGGTTGTATCAAACCAGTGTTAACAAAACAGTAAATGGTAATTCAAGGCAAATAAAATGAAAGGAAATTTGAAACCCTTTACCAATTCACACACGTGGAGAAATCGTCCTCGGGGCAGAGTTGGAGAATACCTACATAGGCAATGTTAGGCAAGGGTTAATTAAACTTGTACTCTGGAGAAACGCCGTGGGCTATCGCTGGTCCATGTAGTATGGAAACGTGTTAACAAGATAAGCAGTGGACTGTTCCTGTACAATGCTGAAATATTTAGCCACATTTTGAAATAAAAGAAGTAAAATGGGAATTTTGGAAAAAAGTTATTCAATTTACTTGTCTGTTACGCTAGTGAAAACGTGATTAAAATTGAAAAATTAAAACAAATAAACTATTGTAATTAATAAAAATTTGTTAATGGTTAAGAAAATGAAATGTGACTATAAAAAAACGAGCTTTGATAAATTCTTTCTAAATATATAAAAATATTTAAATTTATAAATTAAATAGATAATTAAATTAGAGATAATTTAGATAATTAGAGATAATGAATTAAAGATAATTAAAAGGGTTCAAGAATTTCTTGTATTGATCGCTATATTTAAATGGTACGCTATTTGGACGAACTATTCCAGGTATTTAGAACAATGCATATAGAAGATTCCTTACCGCTCATCCATGGAAGCGGGTTGTCGTACAGGACAGCGAACATATTCGTGACTGCCGCCGGCTCGCCATCCCCCGAAACGTCGTCCGACGAACGATGATGAAGACGTTATCGGAGAATCCCTGAAACATCCACAACAATCCTCTCTACCACCAATTTACTCCAGATTTTATTTCCCTTTTTATACACCTCAAATTTACACAGTTGAAATATCTAACCCCATCTCTCGTAGCGTGTTTGCTTAATAATTGCGGAGGCAAAAATCCCCGTGAGGGTGAGTCAGCATCATTTTCGCGGATTGCTAATAAATTACCTTCGAATAGGTAGTTCCATTTGATATATCGCGAGTGCTTAATGGAAACAGCATTAATTTAATTAATTTCAAGTAAGGAATAGGTCACAAGGGTATCATGCAAATTTCGGATAATTAAAAGAGAATAATAGAAAGAATACAATACATATTGTAGGCGTTTAGTGGAAGGGGAAGGCCAGTATTTGAATAGCCATTACTATTAATGATGTAAAATAGTAAATAGGAAGCTTAAAATTTGAAAATTAATAATCTGTTATTCCTGTTTTTAATACATAATAATTGTCTTATAACAAATATCTAACAATTTCCACTACGAATTCAATGTACAAAGGGGTGTTGTATTTCATGTTATAATTAAAAAAAAAAATATATATATATATGGTATTGTTTAATTATAAATGAGAAGAACTGTGAACAAAAAACTTCTGACGTTATAAAAAGTATAAGAAGTTCAGAGACAAGGGTGACGACCCTCCTCTTGGGGTGCGTGATAAAGTGGAAATGTCACGTAAAAGGGGATGCCGCTATATAGACGCACGAGTTGAAGATTTATTTTCTATAGCAATTCTTCGGAAAGGAAATAAAAATGAGGATGAGTTATTGTGTATTAATCTGAAATATTCTATTTAGTGAACACACCCCTTTTATATTTACTCACACACCCTTTTCTTTATCCGAATTCTGATGCTTTTATTCTCAAAGATTTTGTTTAAATCTAATTTCAAATATAAAGCTGTAACATTAACATAAATATTACTTTTCTTGTTGGTCAAAATATTACTATTAATATTATTTTTTATTCGCGAAGAAAATCTTCCAACTTGAAAATTTCACCCTACAGAGTTAAGAGACAAAGTTTTTGATTTAGTTTCTACAACTTTTCAGCTGACTTCTGATTTCAACAGCTTCCACTACTTATATGCATAACTTTGAAACTTTCTTTTACGTTTCTTCTATTCTGATGATGATATTGTCTTCTTTTTTCTCGGAATGAGTTGTATTTCTTGCTAACTTTTGAAAGCTTTTAATCTTGCGGATTTATGTTTTAGTTTCGGTCCCTGGAGAAAAAGAAATTTTGTCTAGAACGCTTCAACTAAAAAAATGAAACGGACTAATAAATTTTAATAATAAACCTCTGTCTAAAGCAACGTGGTGGATTTTATTTTTCATTTAAAGAATTAAAAAAATGTTGAGAAAATATTTTCTAAAAGCATACAGATCTTATCATTATTTGATATTTTACAACATTATTCCATAAATCGCGGTCTTATCACGAATTCACCGTATATTAAATTAACTTAATTAACATAATTTAAAATTAATTACGCGCATTCCCTACTAAATTCCGCAATTTTGCGTGCTAGCATGGGACATACAACGCTTCCACTTTAATTAAATTCTGAAAGAAGATACTGAAGCAAATGGAACATGGAACAAGTGTGAATAGCAGAAATATATTTCTTTCGTTATCCTATCGTCACGAATTAACGAGATTTATGTTTCACCTACGTACAGATGATAACGGATTACAGCGGTCGATGAAATGAAAAAGTTAATCGAATGAAGCGAAGAAGTGACGTATGAAAAATTGATACATCACAGAGAGAAATTAATCAAGTAAATGTCCCTTGAAATCCCAGAAATTCGTAAACATTTCACAGTATTTCATGATACATTTTCATAAAATTTTATCTCTCTTTTCGCTTTTAATTAAATGTTTGGAAACTCGACAAATTTTCCTCTCCTGCCATCCAGATTTAAAAAATTTTTAAATATCATGCGATGAAAGATTAGAATTATTGTTTCTTTTATGTAAATTACCTTGAAGACTGTTGTTGATGATTAGGGTCAAGCAAGGATACTTCAGGATTATCTTTTGGACCGCTTTCTAAGCTGCCCTGCCTCTTCGATTCCAAATCCTCGTATTTTTCTTCTTGTGTCGGCTTTAAGAAGGACTCTTTGTCGCCATCGATGCCATCTTCCTTTGAGATACGTTGATCTTGTCGATTCGTCGATGCCAACGGCAAATTATCTGCACTGCGAACCTTCCGGCACAATTTCGACGTTGAACCGTGCCGTCGTAAGAATTCCTGAAAAATAAATCACCGCTCGTGTCAGGGAAACGATTTTTCTCAACTGATAATATCGAGTATAACTGTATTCTTATCGTTTCAGGAAACGCCGCGAGAAACGCTTATTTACGATTAATCAGGGTAGATGTTACGGGTAGGTTGTTTGAAACCGTTGCCGTTAAAAAATGCAGCAATACCGTGATTACTGAGCGCGGTCCATGTTACCCAGGAAATGAATTTAACGACTACCCTGCAACTAAACCACGATGTTATTGATCAACTTGTGAACTACACTTCACCTTCGACCGCCTTGAACTTTAACGTTTGACGTGTCTATTTTGTACGGTCTCATTCGTGTTCGTTACTTATTTAAATATCCACCGCATTGCTAGTTAACGCTTTTAAAATTTCATATTATGCAGATAAATGTATTAAAAATTATTTTCATTCCTTTATTGATCAATGATTTTAATCTGTTCCTATTTCAACCATGATTTCTCTAGAATCTTCCAGAACGAAGAATTAATTACTTAATTACTTTTTAAATTAATTACTTAATTACTTAATTTTATATACACAGACCTCGAACTCCAGAGTTGCATCTAATTATCGCTGTTCTGATTTGAATTTAAATATTTAATTTTCGCGGATTTTCAAATAATTTCGATGCTATTTGAACTTCAATATAACTGACTATGAATCGACGAGAAGATTTTTGTATTTGGAAAAATTTGAAAATTTGACATAACACCATCCCCATACCTTATCGCTGCACCGTGCATGCCAGTGCCCAGGAGTTCCTCACCGGGCAATGGATCTGCCCGACACTCGCATAAGGCATTCTTTTTTATACCTACAGTAACGTACCTGGGACAGGAAGCCGGCTACGTCGATGGCGCTATTCACCCTCGGCCTGGATGTTCTCGGCCACCCTAAACCACCTCCGCTGTCCAAGGAGTCCACGTGATGGCTCGACCAGTGCAGATGCTGGAAATTCCACACCGTACGATTAGATCGTCCACCTTACGACCCAATGGAAAATTGCATTTCAATGTGATTTCTCCTCAAGCGTGAATTTTTTTTCCATGCCAGAGACAGGAAATAGAGAAAACTTTGGTACTCGCTAAAAATAAAATTTGATGCTGATGGGTTTTTATTGTATTTTAAATCTCAGGAATTATTGATTTGTTTAGTATTATATTTTAATACTTTTTTATGCAGAATATTTCAAAGAATAATAAATTTTACTTTAGGAGAATATATGGCCATATATGAATCACTCTGTACACCTAAATATTTCATGAGGCAAAGTTTCAAAAAAGTATCAACATTAAAAAACTTTCCTTCGTGTAAACACGTTTTGAAGGTATTATATGTACAGTGAATTTTTCATATTTCATGCTGTTCTCTTATCGGAGAGATAAAAAGCACCGCAAAAATCAATACAAAGATGTACGTCCTGTTTGCAGAGTTGAAGTACTTCGTAATTGGATTCTGAAATGAAATAATGTTAGTTATATTTAAAAATCAAATGAATTTATTGAAATTTAATGAATTCCTTTAATTAATGAAAAATTGATAAACAATACTATTTTTAGCGAGTATCCTTTCTAATAAAGAATCATTATAGAACATTTTTAAAAAACACAATTTATTTATATTATCTGAAATTTGAAAATAACTTGCTCAAAAAAAAAAATATACATATAAAACTTTCCGTAAATTCCAACATTTCTCAATTTCTGAAAACTATTGTATCATGTGCCATTCTTTTGCAGTTAGCAATAATGATCGCAAATAACACTTTCATCGAAGCAATCAATTATTACATTATCCACAAAAGCATCGGTCACACGATGACCATCCTGACAGTATAACCGATTGTTTCAGCCTTTGAAAATGATTAATAAGCATTTCAGGTGAGCTAAGCATTTATCTTTGTGATACAGGTGGTAATCGTGACGTGAAAGCATCGGTGTTTCGCAGTGCTTTTCAACATCAACGGGTGTTTTAATATTTTGAAGGAAGAAAAAATTGTCGGTGCCTGAAAATAATGTAGAAATGAAAATTGTGCTGAACGTGTGCTAGTTACCTAAAAATCTTGAAAACCAGGTCAGTTAACTAATCAATCTACGTGTTTTTTCTTTTCGTTCGCACGATTGCTCTTTTCCAGTGGACTACATCACAGAATTTAATTAGTCTTTACTGACCAAAGGGTGGACGGTCAATCGAATTTAGCACGTCTATATCCCGACGCTAACGTCCGAGTTTCCTGTCTATAGTAGATTCGTGATCTCGTCGAGATTTGGGTCAGGAAGCTATTACTCCGACGACTTTGAGACAAGGTATATATTTAGCGAAGACGTAGCTCTCGGAGAGCAATATTCTTCCTATAAACGTCGGATTACCAATCACACATGATTTTACGGTGCCTTCTTCGACGGGCCTTTTTCTACTTCCGCAATAAACTTCTGGTTGAACGATTTTTCTCATAAATTTTTCATTACGGTTAGAGCGATGACGGTCGTTTGAAAAATAATTCTAACAAAATTTATTGCGAATTTAAATAATTATTTCTTTTTTTAGATATAAACTACGAAATAAATATTTGTTCTAGTAATTAATCATCTCGTTAATTGAAAATATATTAAATTAAATAGACAGGTGGATAAAATCTGGAATGGTAAAAATCGTGAATCATGAAAAACGAGAATAATTTCTGAAACGCCACTAATTTTATTTTTATATTCAAATAAATATTCGCTCTAATAATTCATCATCTCATTAATTGAAAATATATTAAATTAAACGGATAAGTGGATAAATCTGGAGTGGTAAAAATCGTGAAACGCCACTAGAAAAAGCACTTTCGAAAGTATATAGCACTCGTACATCCAAGTGCAATTCGTTAATGCACCTAGCACTCGAAGTGAATCAAGCATTGGTGAAAATTTAATACTGTACCCCTGTAATTCCTCTTATAGTAGATTCTCGTTATATCTTTAAGCATCCTTTTCAAATGAGATCTCGGAAGTTTGCAAAATTTTCTATCTCTTCGCTTTCGTTCGCGGCGATATAAAGAGAGCCTACTGTATTAAGTACCGACCGTTTCCACTTTTTCGCTACTAACACGACAGGTGCATGTGTGCACCATAAATAATTGGTATAAAGAAGAAATGATTTATCTTTCATTTCCAATTAACGAACAGGGTAGGAGATGCTGGATAGAAGAGGACTGATGATTCGAACAATGGATCGGTTGATTATACAGGAGTTCATTAATCGTCCGCTTTTAGGATATGGAAATGGCCTCTCTGTACGCATCGAACGTTGACGAGCGCAAATCAAGTTTGAAAGCTGCCATCAGGAGTTAAATCGAAAGCAGGATTATATTCCTAGCGATAGAAACCTAACATGTTCTCAACCCGAAGAGATTTCCTTTATTTTAGGTATAATCACTCCTCGATGCTATCGATGGGATATTTCAGCATTTGCCAAAAATATTAGAATTACCAAATGGGTCAAAATTACAGGTTTTAACATGTTGACTGACACAGTGAAAATGGGCATTTGTTACGAGACGTATTAAAGCTCTAATTATTAAGAATAGGAATAATTAATTTTCAAATTTTAAATGTCAAGCTTTTAATTTGATACTTTACATTATTAGTATAATAATAATACTATTGAAAATAATATTTTTCTATCGTTTTCTTTTAATTATTGGAGTGCGTGTAATTTGCGATGCCAGTCACCGGTGACCCCCATGGCAGTCAACGTGTTAATATAATTTCTAAAATAAAATAAAAATAAGATTTTTGAAGTAGCTTAAGGAGATCTTGAGTATAGTATTTTAGAAACTGTCGGCCATTCGAGGGTTGAAAAAGCTGAGATTATTAGCGAGGATTAATTATATATTAAACGTTAGAGAAAAATGATAAAAATATTTTAGGCTTGCCAATTTCATAAGCAGTGCATAATATCCCGTGTTAAAAAATTTAAATAATTGTGATTGAGGTAGCATCGAACAGCAATTTGGCGTTAACATGCAATGGAAAAGCATTTAATCAAAAGCATTCTTATATTATGGTACTACGTATAACACTTAAAAAGCTGATCGAAGCTACAAACCATCATTCTGAGCTTATACTATACAAACATACATATGTAGATTTTCTAATATTTTTGTATGTATATCTTAATTGTTATTTGGTTAGTACGATTTTTTTTTTAAATTTTTAATTTACCTACCTGTGGCTCTATTATAATTACTATATGTAATAGAAGATCATAAAATTTAACATTAGTGTTAATGTTAAATTCATTTTTTAAGAGTAATTATTTTTTTAATTTCTCCATACCTATTTTTGATGATATTGATTAATTATAAAAGACAATTATAAACGTTGGCAAGCCTAACTGATTACCAGACAACTATTAGACCTCTAAAATTATACAAATTCCATACCTATTAAAAACTCTTAAAATTCTTGTTTTGCGCTCTCAATGATTCATCGTACGTTCAGAAAGGAAAAAGATTCGTTTTTATCTAAAAATATTTACTTACACCTAAATAAGTAAACTGATAAAATATAAATATAAAACAAAAAATTAATTGCTTAATACATCAACGCGATCGTTTATCCTGAAAACGTTACGTTCTAAATCGACCGAAAAGAAGACGAGACAATTTACGTGAACGATCGATTCGCGTTTAAATCGGTTACATTAACTCTGGCTATTGCCCTACATACGTAATCTATCATTATCACACAGACGATTTACGTTGAAATCGATGGAATAAATTTAAGTCGTTGTTTTTCTACATCTTTATTAATACGGTGTGACCGAATACCGTAGATCTATCCCTTTAGAGATATAAATTTTACACTTTTAGGAATCCACGATGGACTTGAAGAAATTGTCTCGGGTTCGATGTGTTAATTAAGTGGATTCAGTCGGAGCTAGAGAAAAATTACATAAAGGAACAAACACCATCAGACATGTACAGAATATGTATTATGATCGGCGAAGATAAATTACAAAGAGTATTTTTTAAAAATTCAATATCAAGTATATTGATATTGAGTTTCCAGAAATTTTTAAAAATATTCTGTTATTCATTACAAAAGAGATTTTTAATTTCTTAATAGGGGATCAACTGACCTTTCCGACAGTAATTATCATAATTATATCCTCAATTTTAAAGGGGGGTCTAAGGGGGGCTAGAGCCCTGGGCTTCACTTTCTAGAGGGTCTCCTATAGTAAACCTTTTATTTACTACGTTAAAAAATATTGAATGAAATTTTTTTTACTACCACTCTCGAGAGTTCAATTGTCTTAAGGTTCCAAAAATATTAATTTGGTCCTCCATACAATTAGTCGTAATTAGAACTTGCCTTATCAATCCTTAACTGTAATTGCACATTTTTCTTTCAACTCTCCCACATTGAAAGGGTTGGAAACCTTCGGTAAACATGATGGACCAGCAAAAATATTAACATATATCTTCACCGATCAAAGTGTGTAAACAACGTCACAATATGTTTTCTACAACGTGTGTGAAATCACAGGCACGCCGTGATGTCAGACAGAAAATTGGATACAGAGACGAGAGATAGAACAGGACGAAAGCTTGTTCGCAGTCAGTGTTGAAGATACAGTTTGTTTAATACGTACAGAGTGAAGAAGAAAAGTGGAAGAAGAAAGTGAAGAAGGAGAAGAAGAAAATAGAGATAATAGGCAAGTACCGATGGTCACGCGTGGTCGGCCCTGTGGAGAAGAGCAAATTGGCAGCCACAGTCACGGGGCTCTCGGGCTCTTCTTGGATACTGAAAGCACTGCTCCAACACGCAACAGCCCCCGCCCCCACACTGCATCACCATATCCGACAATGTGGTCATTACCTTGGAGATTTTTTACAATGTGGACCGTAGATTATTTTTAAGTTTAGAAATGATTTTGCGATGGATTAGAGATAAAAGTTCGAAGAGACAGAAAGAAATTGATTTCATTAGAATTCGTTGATTAGAGATTGAATCGAATGAATTCGTGGCAGGGGATGGATGATTGTATTAATATTGATCCGTCTGAATTTTATCTAGTCTCTCTAAAATTTCAAAATTTCAGATATTTTGAATGAAAAAATTTCAGAATGTCAGAATTTCCAAATTGAAAAATTCTAAACATTAAAAAATTTTATGATTATAAAATTCTAAAATCCTCTCGTCAAATCTTACCCCATTAAAAAGTAAATCTATCCTCTTATCTCTAGTAAATCTTATTTATCCCTACCTATAAAATAAAAATGAATTATTGAAAGTTAATGGGAATTGAGAATCATTCCCAGAAGCAGGCGAGAAGCTCAGTGAAATGCAGTTAGAATCGATCGATAGAATAATTCTAACACTACTCCTGTAAAATGTCCAATAGGATCAAGAGAAACTGTTTGCCACTGAATTGCCACTGTTTATCTTCAAGTTTATATTTTTAAATGATTTTACAATAAGTGACTGCCACGAAGTATTAATAATGATAATTAATACCTTGAAATACTCAGGTAGTAATTAAAATAAAATTTTTATAATTATAATTAATTTCCACACCTAATACCATTTATTAAAATCAATCACTAATTAATTCTCATAAAGTGTAAATAGTAACATCAGTTTCAAATTTCTTTCTGATACATGGTCACCATGAATACGTCATGTAATTTAATATAGTAAAGGTATAAATTCTACTATGTCGCGAATAGAATTTAAGGGAAATATATATCTCTCGGTTCAATACACGAACCGAGGTGATACGTCTTTTTGACGTACAGCTTTCACCGGGAAAACGTTCGTTTCCATCGCTTCCGCGATTACGTGTGCCGTCCAATTAAATTCTAGTAGCATCTGATTAAATCGATATCCTGACATGTTCGTACGATTCTCGTTTCAATGCATTAGATTCGACATGTGAATCGGTCGACTGATGTACCGATATCAGAACCCTGACACGGTTTACGTATAACTGATAACGACTTCCACCCTTCGAACGTATTTGAAAAATGTACAATTGTTTAGATAGCCATTGGCGTAACTTCTTACCCATTCTAAAATTTTCAGATTTTTAATTCCAAAATGACAAAGTTTCAGATATGTAAAATTTCAAAATTCAAAAATTTAATAATTTTGAAATTAAAGAATTCCAAAATTTTCAAGAGACCTGGTCCATCTTGCTAAAAAATTCAGGTAAAGTTTTAAGATTCTTTAATTCCAAAATTACAGAATTTCAAAGTAAAACTTCAGAATTCAAAAATTCAAAAATTCAAAAACCTCAATAATTTCGAAATTAAAGAATTCCAAAGTTTTCAAGAGACCTGGTCCATCTTGCTAAAAAATTCAGGTAAAATTTTAAGATTCTTTAATTCCAAAATTACAGAATTTCAAAGTAAAACTTCAGAATTCAAAAATTAAAAAATTCAAAAACCTCAATAATTTCGAAATTAAAGAATTCCAAAGTTTTCAAGAGACCTGGTCCATCTTGCTAAAAAATTCAGGTAAAATTTTAAGATTCTTTAATTCCAAAATTACAGAATTTCAAAGTAAAACTTCAGAATTCAAAAATTAAAAAATTCAAAAACCTCAATAATTTCGAAATTAAAGAATTCCAAAGTTTTCAAGAGACCTGGTCCATCTTGCTAAAAAATTCAGGTAAAATTTTAAGATTCTTTAATTCCAAAATTACAGAATTTCAAAGTAAAACTTCAGAATTTAAAAATTCCAAAATTCAAAAACCTTAATAACTTCGAAATTAAAGAATTCCAAAATTTCTAAGGGACGTGACCCACCCTGCCCAAAAATTCTGGTCACGCCAATGTACATAATCATTCGAAAGTTGATAACACTTGAAACGTCTATCCATTCGTTAATTGGTAATTAGTCTTTGATCAACTTGGAAAATGTTTTCGAGGAACCTGCGAAAGCAAGCTCGACTAACAGATCGTATATCAATGTGATCTGTTTGCATTTAGCCAATGACAGAATACCGAAGGTAGCAAAGAGTCCAGTGTAATAATGCGTTACCTGAGAGCAGTTGTGTTGAGTCGGGTGTTGCGTGTATGCAGAGTTCGCCGCTGTGCATACCCCGGTCCCTGGAACCTTCAATTGTTCTTTGTAATCAGGTTGGTATGGCAGCAACATGCGAATTTTTCCCCAGCGGTTGAAAAATAACGCTATCGCGCCCGCCCAGAAGATCAACACCAACACCACGATGCCCACTTCTACACCACGAACCTGTAATTCATGTGTTTGTTCCCTTATGCACAAGGAAATTGAGATTCTACTCAGTACGGGAAGTTTCTTTATGGAAAATGAAGACATAGGGGATAAAGTTCTCCACTACTTGCTATAATACCATACCCCATCCTGTATGAATATTTAAAAGGAAAAAGATCATTTTTAAATATTAAATGTTATAAAATTTCACGTCAAATTATTTTATGTAAAATTATTCAATTTCATAATTGGAGAATTCTAATTTGAAGGTTTTAAAATTCAAATTAAAAAATTCTAGAATGCAAATTTTTAAGGTTCAGCATACAAGGTATCCAAAGGTATTAATAATTAATTAAAATTTTGTTTTAATAATCGTCTCAAATTTTAATGGGTAATTCATGTTATTTCACATAATACAACCTACTCCAATGCATGTCTCGATAAATCCTTACAGAGTAATAATCATTCGAGTCACGTAATGTTCCGCTTAACGTTCTGAATTATTAAACAATACCATCAATGTTGCTACGTAAACACACACGAATGCTTCTATACATGGTTACTCATAAAATCAAACGATAAAACAGCAATAGAACGTGTATACCGTTTTACATGTCAATAAAGCTGCTAGTATGCTGCAACTCAAACAGTATAGTTATACTGCAACTGCATTGTCCTTTATCTCGGCAATTTCAACCAGTGCAGCAAAATGTATATATACATAGTGTCGTAAACATATTGAATACAATTTCAAAATTACAGAGTCTCAACATTCAGATTTTAAAACATACAAATCTCAAAACTCGAATATGAAGGTTTGAAAATTTGAAAATTTTTAAAACACGAATTTACAAATTTAATAATTTTTAAGCTCAAATTTCAAAGTTTTAAAAGCTGAATTTGGAGATAAGAATGGGTTTGACAAGTATGTCAAGTTTTTGCCGTGAGGTAAGTTATATTTTTTCTGATAACCTAACCTAACCTATGTATCTTAAGAAATACAAGCGATCCCCAAATTTTATCAACAGTTTTGGATTCGAGGGTCAAAAATCCATAGAATTTACCTCATTGGGGCCCTAATTGTAGACATTTACCAATTTTCTTTGAATTATGTATATTTAAACTTACTTGAATGTAGGGTTGCGGTTGTTGAGAAGAAGGTGGCGGAGGTGGAAGAGGGCCATCAGTTACCGCTGCATCCTGTTGAGGTGATGTTCTTGGCGGCTCTGAAACATGTAACGTCAAATAATAAATGTCTTTGACTATATTGCTCGTCATTTAATAATGACTTTCTGCTTTGGTCACTTAATATTTTAAATTCATAGTGTTACTCTCGAAGAAATTTTGAAATAACCTCAAAGAGACCTGGAAACGTCGCACCTCGTCTGATCTCCTGTTCTCGTCAATGTTAAACCACGTAACCGGAAGCTGAAAACTTACCTAGCGTACGGAAGACGATCGGTCGACTTCGAAACTTTTTGCCAGCTCTGACGGCGGTGACGACAAGTTGATACTGTGTGTCAGCCCTAAGGCCGCTGAGTGTAACCGCTTCGCTGTTTCCTGCGACCACCGCCACCACCCTGTAACTAACCATCTTGCCATTATGTGTCGGGTTTTGTAGCAGAATCTCGATACTTTATTCGAATCCTTATATTTGAATGCTTAAAAACATATTATCCTCTTTAACTTAATTTTTCTAAGAAATATGAAATTTCATATTCTTCTCAAAAAAAGAACCATTTCTATATTCATTTTAAGAGATGAAAATAGTTAACAAGAAACTGTCAAGAACTCAATATCTCCTGTACGTGGTACTCAATCTCCTTTCCCGACATTTAATTTCCGGGAAAGATTATTTTCTCTGCAAAGCAACCAAGATAAAGAGAAAATAAGAGTACGGAGACGATGCATAATGCGATTTGAAAATGGAATCTCGTTAATGGTCAAAGGTTACGAGCAATACAAACAGTAATGAATGTGATACTAATAAACGTTTACCTAGAAATTGCATCTTTAATATCACCAGAGTGTAATCATGCTTTTTTGCTGAAAAATGAATTCAGTGCACAGAAGAGCGCCTCAAAAAATAAGTAATAGGAAAAGGTATGATTAAACGAATTAATTTACATTTGTATGCAATTTTGAATTTATAATTAGGAATGGTAATGAATAATACACCTAGCATTTGTTTATATTTTGTACAACATGGAATTTTCAAACCTACTCGAGAAACTTTAGCACATTATTACTCTGTTTACTAGCAGGAACGTCACACTGTTTATTTTGAAATTATACGTACAGTGCAATTAATAAGATGCTTTGTGACTCACTTTTAGGTGCTTTTCTACAGAACGTATGTTTACGGTGCATAGATTTGGAAAGCTGTGCACTGATTTAACTTCTTCATGGATATCAACACATTCGTTCATAGATTTGAGTACAGTATCGGGCATAGTAGCCTTTCCTAGGGGAAATGGCGTTAGAAGGAAACTAGGGAAGTCTACCATGTTCAGTGCTGTACGTATTTAGGTTTATACTGATATATTCAGAGCTAACTAGGTACAGTGGTTCGCACAGATATTTGGACACCACAGTAATTAAACAATTATTATTACAATAAATACTTGAAGCGGACGTGTAATTTTTCCTAATGTAGTGGTACCTTTATTTATAGGCAGAGAGAAATGTATTAATGCACTAGAGTATGCAATTAATAATAGTGGTGAAGATTATTTTGTAGGAGATGACGAATGGATATTGATAATATAAGATAGATCGTCAATAAGATTCCGAGCAATTTGTAGACCTCTAACACAGAACCTTGAGTTTACGACCCGCTTGTTTACCATTGCTTCGAAAGTGTGATAAATAAACAGAATAGTTGACCTGGAATAAAGTGTTTCTTTGTACTAAGGAAATGTTGATCGAAGAAGTGTTAATTAAAATCGATATAGGTACGTAAAGTTCTGCGATCGTGTCAAAGTTTCTCCTGCACCATTTCTAACAATTAAAATCTGTTTATTATCCGAACATTTTCCCAAGGGAGAATTTCATGCTTATTATTATTTCTCGTTTATTATACAGCCGGTGTTGCTCATTAATAATTCAAAAATTAAGCTTTAACGAGCATTTCGGTAAAGGAAAAGGTTGTTCAGAATCGCCCCAGCTACCCCGTAATTGCTTCGTTGCTTTTTTAAAAATAGAGTTAATACGCTTTTGTACCTTGTCGATATTAACAGGATAATGAGTCCATCCTTGAAGAAGTTAAAACGTTCGGTGCTGATTACTTAATAATTAAACGGTAATGTGAAATGTTGCTACACTATCCTATCGAGGATTCTCGTTAAGCGAATAATTTTTTATGTTGTTATTATAATACATCGTATTTGTTAATAATGCTTGCAACTTTGATAGAAAATCTGTATACCTGTCATTGTGTTTCCTGCGCCGCAATAGGAGAAAGCATCAATTAATATCAAGTCCCTCTTAATACTTGACACTGACAGACTGTGATACCAATTGATAAAACAATTCACATAATTCAATTCTAATGTATAATTAACTCCTCACTATTCGGTACGAAAGCAAGGAAACCTGTACTATTCATAAATAGATGAAATTTTAAGAAAGTGTAGAATATAGGCACATACGTGTATCATAGTGAAGTAGATAAAAATATTTTCCAAAAGCGTCGTTTTACACGAACTTATTAATTCAGTATATCAACGTAATTATAAAAATGGTGAATTTTTATCTTCCTTTCCCTTTAAATGAGAGCTTGGAAACTCGATAAATTTTCTACTTCTATTTTCGTTAAATGAAGTCTTAAGACGTCATTCGAATTGATCGTATTAAATGAATTTTCGTTTCTCCTCAATGTTCTAACTGAATTCATGAACTGCCTGGAGCATTCGTACTTGGTTTACTACTTTGCTGTCCATATTTGTCCCGCTATAAAATCTAGAAGGAGTTTGCACAATTTAAGATTCTTAGACTGAAAGTTACCTAATGTAAACGTCTCTTCAATCGTGGGTATACGTTGATATACCGATTTGAGAAACTTGTGCATGTGATTCTTTAAAGTTTCATCGCGCACAGGTGCAGTAGGAGAAAGCACATATGAAATATCGAAATCCGGAAACGCACCTGGCATCTGTTGGCTTGTACGTGACGTCGTATTTCTCCACTTGCTCCACTTGGCTGGTGCTCCAAGATACGCGGACAGACGTTGGATTTAGGAACATCACCGTGATATTTTCTGGAACTCCTGGAATACCTGTCACTGAGCCTGAGAAAATAAATAAATAAATATTTATAAATTTGATGATTTTAGAATTTTTCACTGGGAACGTTGAAAAATATTCGAGCCTTTTTAGGTAGATCTATGCATAATAAATATACAATATTTTGTAATAATAATAAATTATAGTGGAATTTATTTATTTTCTTTTAATTTAGGCTCACCGACAAAACCAGCTCCTTGCAGGAATAGTATAGTGGCCCAAAGGACCATGCCGCCTAAATGGCGGACCAGGTATGGACCGCGTATTCTTCCACACACGTGTTTGTTTCCACTTCGGTGTCCTCTCAGAAACGTGCGTTTCTCTGCCTTGTATATAGCTCTCTGATAGTCTGGACATGCACCTCTCTGATGACTGGGGCTCATTTAGCATCCTCTGCCGTGCTGCATTCTTCTTCCTTCATTACGCCATAACCACTAGGAAAAGGAGAATCCAAAAACTCATAAGTAGTTTATTTCAGGTACGTACAAGAAATTGCCCATAGGGCGTCGGGAGTGCCCAAATGCTCGTGTGATGCCCCGAACGCCTCTGCCTATTTTTATTACTTAGAAAAACATTATATTTGCAAGTGAAAGAGGTATTAATGATCTCTTAGAAATTTCTTAATTAGTATATACATACCGTTACAGCAGGATGATCCTTCAGGATCTCCGTGTAGCACATTGTACTTGCATCTCGTTGTTCAGATGACACTTGAAGAAAGTCATTCCAATGGTTTCTGTAACAGAAATCAATCATTTTTATATTATTTTATAATTTATAGAACACAATAGCCTCCCTAATACAAAGTCTAGTATATTTATTTTCACAATATTATATACAACTCGGTAAACAACAAAATTCCTAATTATATGGGTAAATTCCTATGGAAAATCAAACATTACCCAAGTAGGGTTCATTTGGTAATGAACGTGTTAATTAGACTCGCCTAAGGCTAAGTTTACACGGGGCAAGTAGTCGGTCCAGTAGTTCTCGCCCATATCAAGGGCCAAGGAAGAGGGAAGGTATTTAAACGGACTATCTTCCATGCCTGGAGGGCTATTTGCCCAATGTAAATTCAAGCTAAAACCGGCGAGCCATCCAGTATGCGCTAGGTGCATCCTTTCCTCTCTGCCATCCCAGAACTTCCTGCGAGGCACGCACAGTATTGCACATAAATTTAGCGCCGCTGGTGCATTGCACGAAGTCAAGAACCTCGGTTACCAGATGCATACAAAGGGGAATCAATGTAAACCGCAAACCTCATTTGTTGCTCGAAGGCATGCTGCCAGCTGGCTGGTCAGTTTAGGCTTCGATGTTTTCGTTGGCACAGCGCGCTCGTGCGCGTGGCACGCAATCCGGAAAGGTCAACACCCACCCAATCCACCCTCCTATTAACGATTTGTATCGCGTTCACACGCAAATTGCCATCGAACCTACCGATTGTTATCGTTCGCTTGCTAATAACTGGTCTATTTGGAAGTAGCAGCTGTTTCTCACCTTGGTATCGGCCAATTTCCATCTTACTTTGTCTTTCTTATCGTAATCGCCTTGTGAGTACAGAGAACATGTTACTGTCCCAAAAGTATCGCGATATGATAGTTTGACTTTTGTTCGAGGCGTTCGGACCCCGGGATAAGAGTTACAAATATTAAAATTAAAAAATTTCTAATTTTCAAAATTTTAGAATTCTATAAATTTGGATTTTCAAAATTTCAATATTCCAAAATTTTCGGAATTTTAAAATATTAAAATTCACCATATTTTCTAGATACCTTCCTAGAAAATAACACAGTAAATAAATACTGTTTATTCGGAAAATTATATTCAAGAATTTCCTGCAATATTACTTCCTAACATAAATTAATAATACATATTCTGTACAATATTTAGGAGATACTTTGAATAATAAATACGTTAGAATCAATACTCAGCTAGCATGTCCTTTACTGCTGTCAAAGAGGCACAACCACAAGGTTTTCATTTGATTCCTAGATTGATAACATCTTGAGAGTTTTGAAGTTTTCACAAATGAAATACTTAATCTTTTAACAAATTGTTTGAATGAAAAACGAGAACGATGCAAATGAAATTCTTGTCTGAACTCGTAAAGATTTCAATTACATTATCGGTACTTTCTTCACCTGTATAGGTACACAGACGGTTAGAAGAACGGAAACAGTTACGGATTCTCTGCATTGCGGTAAATTCCACTTCGTCCGAATACGGACATTTGATAAGATCAGGGAAATTCCAAAGGGAAATTTAAAATTCCTAGTAATACGTATCTTGAATAAAATTGCATGTGAGAACAGGACGAACCAAAATAATGCTATATTTTAAATTTTAAATAAATGCATATATGAATATCAAATTGAATTAATTATAATTAATAATAATAATATGCAAGGTTATCAAAGTTGCATGCATAATTTTTACACGAAAGGATTTATTTAATAAGAGTAAAATTTAGAAAATTAAAATAATAAGAAATACAAAATTAAAATTGGGGCTCTCTCCATGGTCCGCAGTTTAATGGTTAAAGAAAATTTGCAATATTTTATAAAATAAAATTCATAATTATAAATATTTAAAAATATAAGAATTTCACAGTAGATTTTCATCTGTTACACAATATTTGAAAGGCATTGTGCCTAAATTTACAAATAAAAGGCGGATGGAAACGGAGGGCACTTAAATGTAAAACGGAAAGACATTGATCGCTCTTTCCGGCAATTTTCCCCTCTCGTCGACTTTAAGGCAATTACTGAAATTAGACCTTCTTTTGTGACAGCTACCTCTTGAACAATGAATCCATTACATTTCAAATGTCAATGGCTTAATTTTTAAATTTCGAAACCATCTTTTTCAACAAAATGTATCAAAAAGCTCAGGTCTTTTATATTCATTCTTCTCTGTGAAGTACATTCACATATTTAAGTATCCATTAGTAGGGATCAAAACTGTGTTTCATAATTTTGTCCGTCACTGTGTATTTATCTGCAACTACATCTCAATTTAGATTTGAATTATTTCAACAAATAATCTGTTTTTCTAAAAACCAAGTGTTTCTCCGAGTAACGCGCGATTCGTTATGCAAGTCTCAACGGATTAAAATATACAAAATTCATTCTTGGTCGTGTGCAAGCACACCGGCACGGAATTATTTACACGGTAAACAAAGGGATGTCGTGAAACAATGCTTATGAAAACATTGCGTCAGAGAAATTACGTACGATGCGATACTTCGCACCGAGTGCTGTTCTGCTGTCTATATAAAACTTCGTTATACATTCGCAATTAATCCTTGTTTCAACGCCAACGGATTGTTGATACACGGAAATTAATGCAGCATTCTCTGTGACAATTATAACAAACTGTAGAGAATGCATTTAATCTTAATAATACATTTTGCAGCAGTTGATTAAAGCATTCATACTTTTAATTAATTTACTCGGCTGTTTCATTAAGCACAGTATGTGGTTGTTTTGTGACTGATGTAGCGATCGTTTGAAGGGTCATTTCAATCAATAAAATTTGGAAATTTTTGAAATTGAGATTTTTGAAAAATTTGGAAATTTTGATGTTTTTTAATTTTTCCTTAAAAAGCATTTGTGAGAAATTTCTGCAGTCATTTTAAATAAATTTAATTTTTCAATTTGATGTTCTGAATAGTTTTCAGTACTTTTATCTCATCAAACTGCGTCAGACTGTTGACATTCCGAAATCGGAAAATTTATTTTCACAGAACTGTGAATGGAATGTTTCAAAGAAGAAAAAACATTTGGCGTCAGCTGCGAAACCTTCCTTTTTCCCCTGTCGATTTATTCAAGTTGCTTACGGTATTCGGTTCAGGAATCCTTTGGGATTTCGTTTTATGCTTCCCAGAAGTCTTCTGCTCTAACTTGGATCGAAAAAGTAATTCCCTTTTGACTGAGTCAGGGCTAAAATCGAACGTAAATTATACAACTCGACTGAATTGCTTTCCGAAACTTTATTCAAGCATCTGAATTAGTCCTTGGATAGGGAACTTAATTTCAGACTCCATCGTTTCGATTTTTTCAAATTCTTAACTATTACACAGAAGAAGTTATTTCTATATAATTAGGTAAATTAAAGTATTCTTTTTTTTTTGAATAGAAATAAAATTTTATTTTTATAGAAAACGCAATTGGAACGAAGCTTTTCGAAGACACACTGACTTAATACCATTATCTCTTCCGGTCACTCAGAGAAAGCTCAAGCTTCACTTTCTACCGGAAGTAATCTGCCGCGGTCTGCACGACAGACAAATAAAGGATCTCCTCAACATTTCCGTTCCTTAATCGTCCAGATTTTACTCTTTCGGCTGAAAGCTCGGCCAATGCCAAGGAAACGTTTAACCAACTTGTAAATGGCTGACTTTCGCTTTCTTTGGTATTTCTAGCCATGAAGCTCTTCACGAAAACTTGAAGAGTACACTTGAGTCATCTTGTGTATAGAGTGTTTCAAAGTTTCAATTTCAAACCGATAAAATTCCAAAATTTCGAGATTTTTAAATCTTGAATTGGAAGAAAAATAATAAAGTCCATGTGTCGATTTCAATTGTAACAAATTTTAATTAAATCACTGGGGCAATTTCAATTTAATTACTCTTTTATAGGACGTTTTTATAAGGAAACTTTCTTAAGTACCTGTATTAATTATAGGTATTCTAAAGTCACTTGTACACATTGGATAACACATTATAAAATTGCATGAAAACCCAGGTTACCTTAAAATCCTGTCACCAAGGAGATGGCACGTGTAACCACTTATACAAGATATAACTACGAAAGCCTCGTTTCGTCATCAGGTTTGAAGACTAGTTTTCAAGTACAGCTTATTGAACAGATAGCAGGTACTTATATTCTTTTCACTTAGATTTGCTGAACCACTCAGCAAATTAAACAATTAGAAAGTTTAAATTTGATGTAAGTAAAGAGGTCGTTTTACCTCTTTCTTTCCCGCCAATAGTTTTGTTCTCAGGTCTAAATCAGGACTTTAAGCTTCGTATAATAATTTATAGTTTTATAAATCAAATTGTATGAATCTTTTCATTTCATAGGTATTCCGAGTCTGCAGCTGTTAGCTATAATTATCTCGTCTTTCCAATCATTGGTATTGACAGTGTATATTCTGAGCCTCAGCTTGGATAAACTTACTTACGTAATGATCAAGTTTACATGATTGGAACGTAGGTAAATTACATGGAATTGGACAATTTACGTAATTCGAATTTTATTAATAAAACAGGTCGGTTATTTTTTAAATAGCAATTATTAACCCTCGGACATTACTTCTATAATTTTTCTTCAATTTTGAAATTTTCCAATTTGGATTTTGAAATTTGCATTTTCGAATTTTTATGAGATTAATGCAGTGTTAGAATTGAAGGAAACCTTTTAACACAGTTTAATTATAAAGGGACACAAACATCCTCAGTACAAAATTAATTTCACCCACAGTTAATTATTAAACTATTATAAATACACACCTGTTTCCACTTTTATTTAAATTAATTCAATGTCAATGCGAAACCTATTGTTATACTTTAACAATGGAAGATACCGAAGTACAGAAGATTTGTATGGACGCTCCGAGGCAGCACCATTTACTGGCTTCTGCGTCTCCGAGTGCCCTTCTGCGCGTACTTTTTTCGTTCGGCACCAGAAGAAAGTGCTATTTCTGCTGGCGGGGAAAACCACTTCCCCGGGAGAT